TCTTTAGTGGCGTTCAGGACCCTCCTAAAGCACACAAACACTGACCACCAAAGCCAACAGACTCACTGACATCAATGGAGATTTGATCTTTAATTAAATATCTTTATTTTCAAGTACAAAAGTAAGTATAGTATGTTCCTTTTTTGTTTTGTTTTGTTTTTTATTTTTTTTTTTTTTTACCTCCCCAACTATTTGATAAAATGCAGAGTCAAAAACCCGCATTAATTGTGTAAAATGAAACATGGGCATCTGTAATGAAAGGTGTTTTATCCAAGAGTTCTCTACAGAATATGTAAATTTGAAGAACAAAATCTCTTCACTAAAGCCTTGAAAGCAAAGGAAAAAAGTTCCCCTGAAACTAATTCATAAGGAAAAGATATATGAGTAAAATACTATTTTTATATTTGTGTACCAAAGTTTATTGGCCTGGATAAGACACTCTCTTTTTATAATGCCACTACTGGAATATTCATAAAATATTATAAGCAATGCTTTCGCAAACGTCTTTAATAGATCATTTTTAAAAGAAAAAAAGGACTTTATGGGTTGCAAAATATACTGAATTGACACTTGCAGTGACTGGAATGCTTTTTTATCCACAGAACATGGGTGGCAGCAGAGTAATCCCCATCCTACATCCCCCAGCCCCAGCCCCAGCCGTGTGTCTCACCCTTTACCTGGATGCACCACTACGAAGGGTGAGGGAGCTATGGTAGTTTACTCTGCATTCCCATTTCCTCTTTCCAAAAAAACCCCACAGCTGCTGATATCTGAACTTGATCTCCAGGCTAGGTGGAACAGCCAGGTTATTTCTGACAGAATACATTCTACCACTGCTCAGGTCTTGCTCTGCATTCGCTTGGGCTGGGTCAGAGCAGGAACGCTGAACTTGCAGTCTGCTTGGTTGGTTGGTCTCTAGAAAATAAAATTTCCTGGCTCTGGACTTAGTGAAGAGCCATGTTTCATATGCTACAGTTAACATGTAGACTGTAAGGCCAACCATCAAAACATAAAGCACAGTTAAAATTAACAATGTGAATTTAAATCCAACCTTGCCATAGCGCATATGAGGTAATTAACTCCTTTTTAAATTATCGCTCACTGCAAGTGGAGCCAGAATAGCTGGGCTGTTTCTGAGTGAAATGCAGGAAGTCACAGCATCCTGTGTTCCTCCATCATTTGCTGTGCTCTGTGGGGAAGGCTTGGTGAGGCACACAGTTTGTACAGGGGAACCAGCAGAGGAAACAGTGAGCTGAGTGCTCGCACAAAAGCCCGGATGTGAAGACAAATATTGCTTGGAAATTGTCTGAACTTAGGGAATGTAGATCTGAAACAAGATAAGAGTTTACATAGTGGCTTTCCCCCTGAAATGCTGTTGCAGATTTTTTCTGATTTGAAAGAAAGGGGTTTAGGTAATCTTTCTCCTAAGTGTAGGGGGATCAGGAGTATATCTGAAACAGCAGCAGCATGCCTGGTATTTGATATTCTTTGGAAATGTTATCATCCAGCTGTTCCTTTGGATCTTTAGGCTGTTGGCACTTCTGGGGGGGCTCAGCAGTTGTTCTGTTAAGAGCAGAAGCAAAGCTGCAGGAGCTTATGGAGCTCTTAAATATAGTCCAGAGGGAAAATGACAATAGTTATAAAGGTATGGGATTTGTTTCCTTTTGCTACTTGGGTCGCCAGCTGTGGAGGGAAGTACTGGGCCCTTCCTCTGATCCCTTTAGATTAGCTACCATTGCTAAGCAGGAGCAAAACTTGATTTGGAGAGTTTGAAGGTGTTCCAAGCACAAGCAATCCCTTCTAGGGCTTTTCCATAAGAGCAAGTGCTCCTGCCTGTTCTCATAAAGTAGTAATCTGACATCGAGTTTGGATGTGATAGAATAGTTTGCAACAGGGTGAAAGGAAAATTTATTAAAGAGACAAGGGCTTTACATGATTTTCTGTTCATTTCTGATCCATGAGCTAGGAGTAATTACTGCATACTTTAATTTCTCTTTCCTGTTTATTATGTTAGTATTTTTCATTTATTTTTCTGTTCAACTACTACTAATATCTTTACATGTCTTCTCTTATCAGTCTACATAGAATTAGCTCACTGTGCATGGGAGGCTTATTAGGGTGTATTGAGCAACATATGAACCTTTGCCNTATTTTATTTTATTTTATTTTATTTTATTTTATTTTATTTTATTTTATTTTATTTTATTTTATTTTATTTTATTTTATTTTATTTTATTTTATTCCACATAAATGATATGCTTTAAGTACTCTTACTGTAATGCTCGAAATCTTTGTTGTTCTGGGAAGGATCAATACAGCACAAGTCCTGTACCCTAAGAATTTGATTGTAATGCTTGTGAATCTTTAATCATCTTGTTCGCCTCAAATAATATTAGAATATGTGTACAATTAGCAGAATTACATTATCAGAATTATGAAACTGCTTATTATTAAAGCCTTTTTTCTGACCACCCATACTCACACAGACTTGGAACTTCCCTGTGTACTAGTTTGAGAGTTCAGAGCAGGTGATAAAATAAGGATGAAAGAGAGAGCTGTGACCTCAGAGGAGATATTAGGCACCAGAAATTATGGTGTTCTTGTTCCAGCTCTTACACTGACTGTGATACTTCCATTTCTATAGCACTTGCCATCTCTGGATCTCAAAGTGGATTATAAAGAATAGTGATTTAAACCTTCCTGCACCTCTAGGAGATAGGTAAGCAATATTATTCCCATTTTACAGATGGAGAAATTGTGATACAGAGAGGCTTAGTGTTGTTTTTTTAAAAGTTTATTTATGAACATACATGCATGCACACACACAGAACCAGATGTCAGAACTTTCATTGCTCTCTTTTTTAAGTTGAGTCCATCCTCCTTTCCATTTAACCTCTCTGATTTATATTCCCCATCTGTAAAAAGACGGAAACTGGTATAGATATGGAGAGATTTGCTTGCACATAAATTTCTGTGCAGAACCAGAAAAAAAGCCATACAAACACAGAGCACAAAAGTTGTCTTTAAAGTTCAATGCTTTTTATGTGTTGGAAGAGGATATTTTAAGATTCGGTACAATTTTTGTAGGTGGAGAGAATTGCAGTAGTTCTGCAACATAACGTGTAATATTTAGTTATTGCTATAAAAGGGCTTGATTGTTTTGCAATATAAGCATGTTAACTGGAGATTAAGAATTTCAAAAGGCATCGATTTACGTGGCAGAAGGCCAGACACAGCCAGTAACTCAGTCTCTGTGTTATCTGAAAGATGGTGCCACATCAGCACCACCAAGGCACTGTGTCAGACAGGACTGGGGCAGTGGTGCTGCATAAATGCAGCAATTGCCCCCAGCTGCATCTCTGTTTATCTTTCTCCTACTGTGTCTGCAGTGCAGCACGAGCTCCTCAGTGGCAGACACCAATTTACAAAACTGTGCCTAAATATTTACAAGAGAACTGAAATTATGACTGAGCTTTGGGAAAAAAAGTTTTAAAGATGCAATAGAAGTCTTGTCATTTTTACTGCTATTATTGGAATGATTCTTTCTTGCAAAATTAAAAAAGATACTTTAAAAGATACCTAGATACTGGATTAATCTGATAATGTACTGCATCAAAACCTCATGAAGGTTCTGATCTCATTATTCTTAAAAACATTGTTTAAAAAAATATCTTGCAGAAGCTTTTAAAAATTCTTTCTAATTCTACTACTAATTTGCTACAGAAATGAAACATTGAAAACCTCATCTATTAGATATTTTAGTTTTAACAACATATCTGGCAGTTTTCTCTATGTTGAACAGATAGCTTGTACAGAAATGTTTTTCACATTTTTCTGTGTGTATCCTGTAGCATAGGCAGGCTAGATTAGACAAAGATACAACACCCACAGTAACACTTTCGTGTAAGTAATCTAACTTCCCTGTGATAGAGTTCTCAGATTTCATACCTTTACTAGTGAATATATATAGGAAATAAGTATGTATTTCATGTATACATTCATGTTAAATGGAACGGAGACTGGATGTGTTTTTGTGTCACCACGCAAGCATCAACCTGTACATGATTCAAAGATTCATTCAAAAGTTAAGATTGCTTTTTGTTTCACTTGTAAAACTTCATGCAGAGAAGCAGACTGAATTTCAGGTAGGGATTTAGTTGATTTGGAGCTAAGGTAACACCTGATTTTATCACTACAAGCTTTACCAGATAATAATGGTGCTGATGCTAATTATAATACTTGAGCAAGTGAGTTAGTTCGTTGTTTTAATCTGGGACTGAGCTCAGAATTTAACCTGGGGTCTTCCTGAATGCTAGTACAAATCATTTGTTACTCTTGCTCCCAATTACAGTTAAATTAGCAGGTGTCTTGAGGTAATATAGCTACTGCAGCTGGTGGATTGGGATATGGCTTTGCTAATGCATTGACCTTCTTCATCTGTGTAACATGAGTTAATTTTCAGCCTGACAGTAAATGCTGAAATTTGAATTGTAGCACTAATGCACCATTTTTTTTCATCTGTCAAACCAGACTGAAGGGTCATTTAGTGATGAGGATAATGGTTCACTTTGAAAGAGAAGGAAAACCAGCTTCTGAATTCTAGGGGGAATTCTAGATCTTGCTTCAAAAAAGAAGCTGAACTAGGGAAAAATTAGCCTGTGAAATTCCAGTAATACTTCACCTGTAAGTCTGAATAATTGCTTTATCCTTATACTGATTCTGTACAGGCACATTGGAATATTTGCCATGACAAGTTAGACTGAATAATAAAACAGCCTATGAAATTTGGTATTCAGGCTATCAAGCCTCAAAAAGAGGCTTTCTCTGAAAAGTGAATCAACATTAAACTGTTTGCCATAATGGGAATTTCCAGCATCAGTTTGTGACAAGTTTTGATTGTTTCTCTACACCCTAAGAAATCCTAAATCTAAGAACTATTGGAGACTGATTTTTTTTTTATTTTTGTTCCTCTCAGAAGTGTCTTTCTTTCTTTCCTGCAGCACGGAAAAGGATATGCTAGTCACTTCTACAGGACTTACCTGAAGCAGCATGATTTGCACAAAAGAAAGTCGACCAACAAAAAGCATCAGCTTTCAACTTCATTATCTTGGCCATCCAGTTCTGTGTAACTGAAGGATTTGTGTGCTGTTGGAGACATCCTGGCCAACAATAGGACCTAATTGCTCTCAGCAGGCCTGAGAAATGAGTTGAAATGTGTAGAACTGTAGAAACTTCAGAGGCAACTGATCTTGCCTCTCTGATCAGTGTGTGCCTGTTTACAGCACTATATATCTTTCTCTCTCCAAAATGTCACTGAGCCCTTTAGATGTTTATATTCACCACAAAAAGCCAATCGTACAGATAAAAGAGATGTGCATTATAAATGCAATATCACTGTTTTAAACTTGACTGTTTTATATTATTTTTGTGTGATCAAGTGTTCCCCAAACTATTCCAACTTTACAAGAGAGATTGTGATCATGTTCTTTTCACCTGTGGGTCATAAAAATGTTGTTAATCTGGAGACCCACAAAATTATCAAAGACATTTCTGTAGTTTATACACCGTGTTGCAAAGTGTTTACTGTACTATTTCAAAGCTTCTAAATAAATATAAAATATATATATATTATATTATATATAATTTTCCGAAAAACGTGGTACAACTTAGTTGATTTTTAAATGGATTCATACAGTCTACACCATACACAAAAGTGAGAAGATAATTCAGGGTTCCTAAGCTATCCTTGCTAAAAACAAAAATAAAATAAACCTTTAATAGTACTTCCCCAAAATTCGTATTTTGGTCGATCCTGTTTTTTCTTGTTTAAAAAAAAAAAAAAAAAAGCTGTAAGCAACAACATTTTGTCTAAAAAGTTGTAAGGAATTTTCAATGCCAAAGATGCAGCTGTCAATATTACCCGAATGAGCGCTATGTACTATCAGAGGTATAAATCACTCTCCATTATTTTGGTTATGTTTCTATGGTTTTTAATTTGGAATCACAAAATCTTTTATAAGGCTCTATAAATTCACCTGTATATGTTGTTAAAAAGAACACTGGGTGTCTGTACATTTTGCAATGTAAGATATAATGTAAGTGAAGTTAAGTATTTTAAGAAAATCATCCCAAGCTCATAAATATGTATACATACATACATAAATACATACACACACACACACAAACACCCACACATCTCTCTTTAACATAGTTTTGTGAAACGATACAAATATATTGCCTAAAAATATTTCTCTTGTGGCTAGGAATAGTTGTTGATAGAATTCGAATTACAAAGGCAAAGTGTATGCCAGACTCTTTTATCACAAAGGAGATTTCCAATTAGGAACATGGCACATTCTCAGCTGACCCCTGTCCCATTGGAGTTAAAATGGTGTTGGCCACCATCTTTGTTGGGAAAAGGATTAAGCCCTTGCATATAATCTTTATGTTCTGTAATAATTCTGTGGTCTGAAACAGTATCTTAGAGCGTTTCTTTTCTATGAAATATTGGAAAAAGTAAAATTTCAAAGGTAAAGTTTAAAACTACTTTCATGTCCATGGAGTTTAAGTACCATTTACTAAATGTAAAAATCTAGTAAAATTTTTTTCTTTTTTTTTTTTGTGCTGTGATTTTTTTCCCCCCACTGTACCTTAATATGTCAAATAACTAAAGCAAATGAGAGCACACCTTGTTGTCAGCCAATGCCTAGCCAAATTCAAACCAATTCCTAATTAATATTCAATATTAAGTAAAACAAGAGAAAATGTTTCATTGACTGCATTTGGATTTGGATCATGCCATTATATAGTAATTTTGTTGTCCCCATCAATGCTGCCATGGGATGAATGTGTGCTGTGTCATAATAGAATTTGAGTTTCTTATTTTTGTTTTTTGGTTCTATTAGATAGGAGTATATAAATCACATGTATGGAAACCATCCTGCTGTGGATCCAAAAATATACAGGGAATCCAACATTCCTGCTCAAATTCCACGAGTTCTTTGTACACCTAGTGGACTAGGCCCTGAAGTTGCTAATTTAATATTCCAAACAACAACAAAAAAAAGCTCATCAAACACTTTAATGTGCATATCTAGCAGGTTTGTGTAACGACAAATTGTTTCATGAGATCCTTTTAAAAATGTGTTTTATAAAATACTCAATCCAAAAATCCCCCAAACAACTTCAATAGCTATTGATTTGAGCAAATACAACAGTGAAATGTTCCTCCTGCTGTAGGTACTTTTAGTTGCCTGCAGGCTTCATTTATTTTATGAAGAAAAGCAATGGAATTTGTGACAAATATTTCATTTAAAGGAGATTGTTAGATTCTTGTTTCTGCTTTTAAAGCAAGAAAGTCCTTGCCATTCTTAAACCTGTTTCTAAGTAACTTTTTAATACAAACATATATTGTAATTTATGGTTATTTTCGGTCTTTGGGAAGAAAAGGAAATGGTTTTACTTTCTATTCCATGAACAACCAAAGTGTTTCTATTTAATGAAACTCTCTTCACATTTTGCATGCCATTTTTTTCCTGTAAAAACTATTAACCATGTCCTGTCACTCATTTCCAAAACTGAACTCTTTCCATCAAGTGCGATATACATACAGATTTACTAATTTTCTTTATTTGTATTAAACGTTAAATACCATTGGCATTGGTCCAAATATACACAGAAATCCTGAGTTCACTGGGAGAGTCCTAGAGGGAGCCATGGTGGGCTGCAGAATGCCAAGGGAAAGGAAGAATTGAGCAGCCTGAGCTCCCGAGATAAAGCTGTAGCTTCTGCTGATTTCCCTTGCTCACTGTGAGTTTTGGTGCACTAACATTTGCTGGCACAAGCCTTGGGACACATTTAAACCCAGTACATAGCTGCTGTCCCCAGAGAAGGGCAATTTGGGCAGTTCAGAGGCTCAGTTTGTCCTGTTTCTTTGTTCTAGTGGGCATCTGGCCACCTCCCATTGAAACTGCCTTGTTCAGCATCCCCCCACGTATTCCATGGTGCTGCTGGGTGCCTGCCTGCAGGGACAGCTCTGGAAATGCCTTCAGGCATCAGCTCCTGTGTCTGCCTCTTCCTTTGAGCACAGGTGATGCAAATATTGAAGGGCTCTCTTTGCATTTTGGACCCAACAGCGAGCTGGAAGTAATCGGGAAATATTTAGGCTGGATATTAAGGGGAAAGATTGATACCCATAAAACTGAGATAAGGAAGCTTTTGGAATCTCCTTCATTGCAGGTTTTCAAGGACAGTTCAAAAAACACCTGTAAGGGATGATATAAGTGTACTTAACCTTGCCTCAGTGGAAAAGCACAGAGAAGGCTCTCAGTGCTGTTGTTCTGTAATGTTCCTAGTGGGGCATGCTAAGCTTTGGAGGAGTTAATCTCTGCACAGCTGTAGGGATAAGAATGCTCTATCCTTCAATTAGTTCTTTGAAGCAATATCTAATGTTTAAATTTACAACTTATGAGCATAATAGAACAAGCTGCCTGTGAGAATAACTGTCTTTGGAGTAAATTAGAGTTCAAGCAAAGAAGACAGGGTCTTATAAAAGATAACAATATGGAATCAGATCTGTGATTTTATTTTTTTTCTATTCCTGATTTGGATATTAGCAATAGATTTCTAAGCAGCTTGCCTATTAATATTTTTCAAAGTCAGACTAGTTTCTTCCAGATGGATTCTTCCAAAACTTAGAAGTACTAAAACATTTAACTACTTGAAATAAAATTCCAATTTTTTTCCACCATTTTTTTGCTAACATGCCTATTGAGGGAAGGTATTTCCATGAACATATTCTTAAATTACTGGAACAAGGTGTAGTAATTTTTCATTAGTGTTGTTGCAAAATTAGGTGAAATGAAAATAGACAGATAAATTTGTAAAGATTCCTGCATTATAGCTTCTGTATAGTCGTGGGGGACATACATGTGTGTGTGTGTGTGTGTGTGTGTGTAACTATAGTGCAAATTCTGGGAAGTTGCCACAGGATTTTTTCTTACAGCTCCTATCCGTAAATGTAAAGAAAAGGGTAGAAACACATGGTAGGGTACTACAAAACTAGACTTGTTCCTTAGTGTAGAATGGAGTTTTGCATTCAGTAATTAAATTCAGCCCCTTCTTCATGTGTTATACCCACAACCAAGCACACAACTCATTTTATTACTTTTTTTACTTCCAGAATGCTACCTGCACATAGAAAGGATTTTTTTTTTCATTCTTTTTTAAGTAATATCATTCCTCAGGGTAAAGGGTGGATAAATAGATAGTCTTCCTAGGCTGATAAATTGCAATTGCAATTTTGCAAGGCTGTTAAATATTTGTATGTCTTACCTGGAGAAAGCTGGTCATATCCTGCCACTGTTCCATGTTCTAGTCTTGAGGTTTATTCCATTTAGACTTGTGAATTAAAACCTATACAAAGGTGTAGGGACCAAAATAAGCATCTTTGATATACATTTATTTACTGAAATTTGATTGCAAAAAAATTGGCATCAGATGTCTGTCTATAAAGGGTAAAAAGTTGTTTATTCTATTCTATTTGCAGTAATGTAAAAGCCAGTAGAACTTTATTATAATATTGTGCTGTGACAAATTCTGAAACTGTGAGTCAAATACTTTGCACTGATCCCTACAATCAGAGATCAAATTCTCCTTAAAGAGCTCCTTCATTTTATTTTGTCTCTAAGAAATGGATACATATATATATAAACAAATATACACAGCCATTACAATCCATTGTTGAGCATCTGTGTTTTTGTAGATATCCTCATATGTAAGGAATAAGCAAGAACTAACCTGGACAGATTTCTTGAACTGAAATTGTTTTTGAATTTGAATTTGTTAATAAAGTTCATGATATTGACAGACATCAAGAAAAATGAAATCTCTGTGGGTGTAGCTCTCCAGAAGGCAAACGCTTCACTTAGGAAGCATCCTGTCAAAAAAACTGTATAAATGCAACTGCTGGAAATCTTGCTGAGTCAAGATGAAAGATGCTGTGCTAAAGCTTTCTTGTTCACTGTGTCAGCACTGATTAAAGTGTCCTCTGGATGGTAACCACTTTAGGCAAGCAGAAGATATCAAAAAATTGCAAACAGGATGCAGACAATATTTACCATTCCTGTGGAAGACTTGGACAAATAGGTAAATATATACTGAAATACTGGTCTCTATCATACAATATGGAAAAAACAGTTAAATCTAACATTTAAGAGAATGCTTTCAAATACATGCACTTCAAAGATTAAAGTTCATCTGATGCTCAACTTAGAAGCATATTTTAGGTAATCTCATCTTTGATTTGCACTAACCCTGGAGATCAATTTATTGTATGACAAAGCCTTAACCACTACATGATAAAGGGAATGTAACTAAACCAACCTTAAGTTTCCGAAGTCTTGGATCCAAACCTGCAGGTTGCAAAACTGAGCTGTATTTTATATGAATCAGAGCCTAATTCCATTAAAGGCAGTGGCCCAAGTTGCAGTGATCTGAAGGAGAGCAAAAGGAAGTTTCCATTTCTTTCTTTATGCATTTTTAAGCAAGAGCAGCCTGCAATAAAATTATTTTACATCAGAAAAGGGAAAATTCCCTGGCTTTGCTTTTTAAAAAGCTGCAGTTTGGAAATTTGAAAGTTTGGACATGGCTATGTGTCAAACAGTGTAAAACAGACATTTCTGATAATTTTATCTCAAAGCAAAGTAGCACAAGATGTTAAGTGATATAAATGTTTAGGTTTTCTATTAAGATAGAGACAGAAATGCAGTCCTGAAAAGACAGATTCATGGTTTTATTATGCAGAAGTTCAGACAACTAAAAACTCATTGGAACAGGATTCTTACACCGCCCTAGTTGGCTGAAAATGTGACCAAAACAAGCAAAGAAAATATCGACCTCAACCTTATGGATGTTTCAGAAAATTTTGCTCTGGAAGGTAATAAACAGATCCTAAGAACATTATCTCCTTTCAGACTTGGCTGAAAGAGGTTTTCCATCATCTTTTTTGGTCTAACATATTGGAGTGTAAAAGCAGTCCTCTGAATGGTTTGCACATTCACTTCAGAGGAGGGAAGGTATTCCCATTTGTTGAGAATAATCTGGAAAAAAGACCTAGATGAAGCCTGATGTCAAAATTGCCTGGTAATTCCATGTCCACCACTACAGCTTTTCTAACCAGGTATCAGAATGATTTAGGGCTGAAATGTTATGGGATGCTGATGGAAAAGCAGTGGTGTGGCACTGTTCCTATGTGAAGAAGAAAAAAAAAGGGAGAGAGAGAATGTTCTCTGCTCTTCCTAGTCTCACAGACAACATTAATTGATACTTAAACAGTGCTTTGTTCAGGAACATAAATATCATGAAAGGAGAAAGATTTCACCATGAGAGCAATATATTTGTTGTGGCTTGTGCTATATTAAAAAAAAAAAAAAAGCAAACAACAAAAGCAAGGATGCAAGCAAACATTCTCCTGCTCAGCCCGCTGAAGATGAGGCTAAATGATGCCCCTGGAGCTCACGGCCATTCAGTTTCTGAGAGGGGCTCTGCTTGATTTATATTCTGGCTTTCCACAAAGAAAGAGACTACAGACAGTGTGCTGGAAGTTGAAGAGAGGT